TTTCATGTTCCCTTCCTTTGACCTTTGTTTCATTCATTCGCTTGGCAGCTTCGTGGCATAGTTTTCTATGCGCTAAACTCGCAATTTGGATCATTTAAAACAGAACTGAACGGCAAGTTCGTAATTAGTAACGAACTGGTTAGCGTTCAGCCGTGGCTGGCAGTGGGGCAAAAATATTCGAAGAAATTTTTGTCATATCTTTCAGTCTCTTCCTTTATTTTATATTATCTTTCGAACTTTTCGCTACCAAAAGGTTCGTCTTCACGAAATGACAAACAAAAGCAAAGCAAATACAAGGAAAATCGTCCATTCGTAGTTCATTTTAGTTCTCCAGTCATTTGCAAGACCCACGCTTCCTTGATTGAAAATTCTGAACGAATCTGGGGACTGGGGAGAGTGTCAAACTCCAAGGGCTCCGGCGAAGAGACTTTAGCTTTCGCATCATTGTTTCTCCTGCGCCCTAGTCAAAAATTTCAAGTCAGAGCCATGAGGTGTATACTCAATAGCAGAACATTTGAATAAGCAGGAATAAGTCGTCAAATAAAATTATTTATTTCGACCTCTAAACATAACAAATCTAAGATGGCCGCTACAGGAAAAAAAAAACAAGTATCGAAGCCCGCGGTCTCCAGCGGAAGACCACAAAAGGGTGGGAAAACGAGTAACACTTCAACAAATCCTTCTTTTTATGAGTTGTATGACTCCACGGAAGGACTCTGCATGAGGTGTATGAGCTCACGCAGGATTCCACTGAAGAATAGAAATCTGGAGAACTCTATCTAAACTGATAAACTTGTCCTTTTTTTCATGCAGCGAGTTACTCCATGTCTAGAGGAAACTTTTCTACGGTCACTGATTCAATCCATTGGTCAGTCAATGGGTCGGTCAATGAATATTACACTGCTGACATTATGAATGTTACAGCTACAATGTCCCACGTCATGAGCAACTCTGTCCCAGTCTCCTCTTCGCGTATGCTGCCACCACACTGTTACCATGTATGCAAATGCAACTATTCCGCTGGTGAGTAGTGGAGAAATACAACTGAAAGACAACGATAGAATCCAAATTTAGCTTTTCTCCTAATGATTCGACCAAAATGATTAGTTTTAAGTGAGTTATTTATGGAAAAGAAATGCCAACTGTTGTCACAAGGTGGACCTGTTGCCTTAGGAAGAGAGTTTAAGAAAGTAACATTTTACTGTATTTGGTGTTAAAAAAGTCCAATGGACTAAAACATTTACACATAACGAGGTTCTTAAAATTCATAGAAAACCGTAAACAATTGAGATAAAGAAATTGGAGGATTAACCGATACGTACAACAATATTACGAATGCAGCATAGAAGAGGAGCGCTAAAAACTCTTAAAAAATGGAAAATTGTATATTAAGTTGTGATTGGAGACTGTATTAAGCAATGCCGTTCTCCACACAATAGAAGCGTGTAATATCCACCATGCGAAAGTATTAACAATTAATTTCTTTTATTAAAGGATATGCCACTTCTTCC